TGGAGACCCCCTGGTTCAGAGCAGGGGCTGGGAGTTCCCCCTGGTTTCTGAAGAACAGCCACTGACTCGAGGCACATTTTCCAGAGAGCGCTGACGGTTTTCCTTGTTTGTACTTTCTGTTTTTGCTCCACTGGCCCCTTTGGCAGGAAACAGTTTCACCTAAGTGAGGGCCTGTTTGATGTTTGGGTCCATTTTTAATTTGTTTTCGGGTAACACATGTAAAGAAACAATTATATTAAGGATTATTAATGTTATTTTAACAACAGCAGTATTTAACATGGTATTTTACTCCTGTGTTCAGGCGGTGACTTTCACTTCATAATTCCTGGTATGTTATGAAGGACACAAAAGCATAGATAAGGACAGTGGTGTTAGTGCAGTAATATCACTTCAGTTTTTACGAGCTGTCTCCCATCAGTCACGGATCACAAACCCTCTTGCGTGTCATAGCAAGAACTTCTGGCCCAGAGCCAGCTCGCCGTTAAGAGCCCAGTCTGCAACCTGTGATTGGCCGGTGGATCAGCGTTTTATATTGAATACACGCGTTAAGTAAGGGCTCGAGCGTTTAAAATCTGGTTAAATAGGGAGGCACGTCTTTACGGGGAGGGTTGTGGGAGGCTGAAACGAGCCAAGTCAAGTCATGCAGCCCAAGCCGGTGGCCTGGGATCCTTGCGTGAAAGAGATGGGTAGATGGGTTCAGACCTGCGCTCTCCGTCTGGGCCCACGCTCGGCTGCTGTCGGCTCTGCCTCGTCTGCTGAAGGCTCACCAGGCACAGGCCGCGGCTCTGCCTGAGCACATGGCCTGGCTGCCTTGCTTTGGCAGCACATGTACTAAAATTACACTTCCTGCTGCCTCCAGCCGCTGTTGTGAAACCCGTGCAGGCGGCTGGGGGCCTCTGGCCATGTGGAGCTCCTGAGCTGGAGTGTGTGGCTCCCTGTTTATTTACAGAGGGAACTGGGGGGGGGGTGTCCTGCTGCTCCCAGGAGAAACTGTAAACAGTGTTCAGGTCCTTACTTAATGCAAACAGGCAGCAATTTGAGGAGGAGGTAATCTCTAAATGTGGCTACTCCCTCCTGGTGTTTGTCCAGCCCGCCCACGGCTGCTGAGCGTCACCCTGCAAAACAAGCCCTTTATGGAGGCTTAACTACAGTTAACCCGAGAAGACTCCATCTTTAAACCCGCCTTGCAGTGGAACTGCTCCTCCTGATCAGTCACGTTGGTGAGCTGTGTTTTACTAAGAAGCAAAACGTGTATTGCCCGTCAGTAACAAATGTTATTCCTGCAGTGATTTTAAGTATCAAAACATTGTCTGTGTAAAGATGATTTTTTTAGAACAACATTTATAGAAAAGTCAACAGCATTGTTTCCCCAATAATCTGACCGATTAGCCCCGAGGGCTGTGCGGTCATGTTTATTGCTTGTGTGTGCTGATGGTCTTCCTAGCTGGTTTTGTTCACAGTAACTGTGCATTGAGGCAGTTTGCGGCGCATGAGTTTTTCTAAAACAACTTCCTCGTTCATGTCAGGAAGAAGCCCGTTTTGAGGAAGGCAGGTTTTTTTTTTGGCAAAGTGTCTCATGCTTCGAACCTTGACGCAGTAAAGCAGTTATGTTACCTTCACTGATGCATATCTTCACACTCACCCTATCTCTGCTGAAAAAGAGGAGCTTTACAAAGAAGAAATAGGTTTCTATTTGGGGGGGGGGGAGGTGTGTGCAGAACGAAACTGGGCAAACAGACGAACGGGGTTTCAGAGCTATTTCTGAGGCTGTGCTTAGTTCCATCTGGAGAGGGTTTTTGTTCCTGAAACTGGCAGGTACTGCCAGCTGTGATGCTCTAAGTCTTGTTTACCCTGTGTTTCACAGTGGCGTACAGTGAGGTCTTTCACCGCAGTGACAGATCGAGTGAGGCAGTCCAGGGATTAGACAGAAGGCCCGGTGAATGCTCCGGGTCTGTCCCAACACGCTGGGTGTTCCCCTGAGTCAGTCAGCTGAACGTCTCCTTGCTCCTGAACCTGTTGTGACCCTTAAACTCTATGGGAGTCCCTGACACTGGCTTTCAGGTGCCTGCGGTGTAGCTATGAACAGACCTGGTCACTGCCTTGTCTTTGTAGAGGAATTTTAAATGCAGAATCGAAAGCCGTCTGGTTCAGGTTCTGGTGAAATGACATACTTCTGAAAATTTCTTTCCCCTCTTTTTTGACGCACCTGGTTAAAACAGAACTTGAAACCCGTTTGCTTTTGTCTTCTCCTAAGTACTTTTTTTTTGTTAGCACTCCTGTCTGACACTGTGCTAATCTCATTCTCTTAAGCTCTTCAATACAAAAGGCTTAGTGTTCAAGATGTTTGCAGACATGAGGTTAAAATATATATGGGCTGCAACAGTGGCGTCTATTTGCTTTGTGAAGACAAAGTGGGGCTCTGAATGTCGCACAAAGCGTAGCATTGTAATGGCACAGAAGTAGGTCCGTTTTGTTCTCAACTTGCTCTTCATGAGCCACACAGACAGGGAGAGCTCAGGGTCAGCCATTTATGGAGCAGCTGGGGTGAAGGGCCTTGCTCAGGTGCCCAACGGAGTCGGATTCCTCTGCCGGTCACAGGATTTGAACCGGCAACCATCCAGCCACGGCTGCAGATCCTTACCCACAGAGCCACTGCACTGCACTTAATTGGATTAACTATAGTGGGGTCATTATGCGCTCGTCATTGCCAAGGAGCAGAAGAGAAGAAGGATGCACTGCAGAGTGGGAAGCAAATAGTTATGTTTCATTTCATAACTAATTAGCCCACACTTACAGATGTTTTGCTGTAAAGACCCAGTGTATTCTTGTGGTGTTCGGTGTACAGTAGTGTGTTTTGTTCTTAACTCAAGTGTAAATCTGACATTAAGAGGCTCGCTTAGCAGAAGTGTTATTTAAACCATTTGCTCAGCTCAACATAGCGATAGGGGGAAATCCTGTGTACCTATGGCTGTCACGAGAGGCTAACTTCGCTATCATGAAAATGCAGAGATAAGATTATATTAATAGCTTTTCATTTATTCACTGCAGTAGCACAAAGTGCCCTTATGGGAAACAGCATTTTACAAACGATTCACTTATTTTCTACCCATTTCAGTTTGATTGCTGTACATCAGATGAATATTTATTCATTTAAATGCATAACTGAATAAATATTTGGCCAATGTAAAATGAGTCCTTGCAGATCAGATTCAGCTTGAGGTTTTCTGTGTTTAATACTGTGAGCCTCTCCAGCTGTCTAGTAAAACAGACAAGAACCTGACAATTGTGGGACAAGGGTGGCTCCACTTTAGTTTGTGTCTTTGAATTGCTAATTGCTGCTGGCTGACAGGCGACAGCACTTACTTTTGAACCTGTTGGGCCTGCATTTCACTCTTCCAGTAACCTCATTCATCCTGCAGAATGTCTTGGCACTCTTACTTATTTCCACCGCATGTTGTGCAAGAGATCTGCAGACAGATATTTCAGAATATCATACCATAGCACTACAGTTGGCGCTTAAAATCTTATCGGTTTGTAAAACATGTCTAACATGCAGGATGCCATTTGATTCTTTTATCCTAATTAGGGGAAAGAGAGATTAGAAGAAGAGCTCTAATCGCAATTTAAAGGCAGGCATTGTGCAAGATTAAATACCAAAAGCTGTAAACTTTTAGGTGATATCTGTAAACTGCTAATTTAATGCATTTGTTGTTGTGGTTTGCAAGGGTTAATGATAAGATGCCAATTTTAGCATTGTTATAGAGCTCAAACTGTTTAAGGTACAATGAAAGTGTACTGCGGAAGTCTGCAGAAGACTGTACAGATATCGGAGATGAAGTGGGAATTTCTTCAGCTGTGTGTATTGACGGGAGCGATGCAGGTGTTGCTGGGAGTTTGTGTTAGCTGAAAAAGAACAATAACAGCCAAAATGAACAGCCCTTGAGCACACAAACACCACCACTGGACTCCAGCTTGTCCACTGCAGCTTTAAAACCTAGGCAGTATGAGGTGCGTCTTATTTTGCTTTGGGAAATGTTCTGACGCATGTTTTTGCATGGTAGTGCAGTGTTCTGATGGCCTTAATAGATCCTCAAGGATTTGTGTGTGGGTTGCAAGGTGTGTTCAGCAGCTTGCCGTCCTCGAGTCGGCGCATGTTTTCACGAGAGCCTTCCATGTGATTTTCCTTGTTTTGTGTGTGACCATGGCGAAGCATTAGTCACTGTACTCCTGTGTTGCCCAATTTATTATTGTTAATGCATTAGTATTGCTGCTAATTAGGCCGGAAGCTTTTAAGCTAAGTGACTTTTGTCCCCATTTATATAGCTGGAAGAGGTGTTAGTGGGGCCAGTAGGGGGTGCTCACCCTGCGGTCTGTGTGGGTCCTAATACCCCAGTATAGTGACGGGGACACTCTACTGTAAACAGGTGCCTTCCTTCGGATGAGACGTAAAACCGAGGTCCTGACTCTCTGTGGTCATTAAAAATCCCAGGGCGTTTCTCGAAAAGAGTAGGGGTGTAACCCCGGTGTCCTGGCCAAATTTCCCATTGGCTCTTACCAATCATGGCCTCCTAATAATCCCCATCTATGAACTGGCTTCATCACTCTGCTCTCCTCCCCACTGAGAGCTGATGTGAGCGTTCTGGCGCACTATGGCTGCCGTTGTATCATCCAGGTGGGGCTGCACACTGGTGGTGGTGGAGAAGGATCCCCATTACCTGTAAAGTGCTTTGAGTGGAGTGTCCAGAAAAGCGCTATATAAGTGTGAGTAATTATTATTATTATTATACTGGTAGGTTAATTGGCCTCTGGAAAAACTGGCCCTGGTGCGAGCATGTGCATGTTTGTGTCCATCCATCCTGCGATGGACTGGCGTCCCACTCAGGGCATGTCCTGCCCGGTGCTTAATGGGACAGGCTCCGGCTCCCCTACAACCTTGGACTGGAAGAAGTGGTTAGAGAAGGGCTGGGTGGGTCGAAGTGTTAGTTCGCACGAGCAGAGCCTGGAATCGTCAGGGGGGTGTCGTGCTGGCACGTACTGGGCTTGCCTTCTGGTGCCCCGCAGGTCCTGTGATGTGAGGGGCTGGGGTGGGGGCTGAGCTGTATTTGTTGGCCTCTGCCATGGACACTGTGTGCCAGCTGGTCCTTTCCTGCTCTGGGGAGATCCGCACAGCCCTGGTACTTCTTCAATGACTCTTTATCACCCAGAACTGCGCCACCTGCGTGTAAACCCGAAGAGCTGTGCTGCTTGACATGTTGTAGTCCTGTGTATGCTGTGCAGGAAATGCCAAAAATCGTATTTTGCTTCTGTACCAGTGCATCGTCCTTCGTTCAAATACATGCATTGTACCACATGGCCCCATTCATAAACGGAGCTCCTTAAGGACTGTTTGCAGAACAGCTCTGTTAAAGGCTCTTTGCTGATGAATGTGTTAGCTGTTCCTAGAGCAAATAAGATTAAAATAACAACCAGGATTTGTCAACAGTCTGGGTGAAGCCTCACCTTCCAGGTGATTTTCTCTCTCTCTCTCCCTCTGCAGCTCTGGGACCGCTCAGCTGTAGGTGTTTCATTAAAAATGGCACAAAAACAGTAAATGAGATTTCACAAGTTTGCATGGCTGTGAGCTACCATTTCAAAACCATACCAGCAGAGAGGATTTCTCTTAATATTATTCCTGATAGTAACAGCTTTTGAGTTTTATTCTTTTCCCTGACAGAAGTCATGACCCGGCGAATGGAGCTGGGGTCTTTCTCCGGGCTCCTGTAATTTGTGATGTGTGATTCCTGCCTTGCAGGGATCCAGTGGCGCCAACACCGTCCTGATGCCTGAAACCCTGCTCTTTGTGTCCACACTCGATGGGAATCTGCACGCGGTCAGCAGGAGGTCGGGAGCTATCAAGTGGACCCTGAAGGAAGGTATGGGAGATGGAAACTCCTTGACATCGTGCAGCTGCAGGGTTTTCCAGGGAATGTCGGTTGCAGGGAAAAGCTGGGCACTTTGGTTGGATGCTCTGTAGGGAGTCTTATTTGACTACAAGGCAGTCAGATAAGGCACTGATACTGCTGCCTGGAAGAGTGTAAATTAGGACGTGCAGCACTCCTCTTTGTCGTTCTCTTTAAAACCACAGAGAAATGTAAGATGGTGCAAGATAACGTCAGCATCAAAACATGTGGGTTCACCTACTGCTGGCGTGGGGTTTGGTGCTAGATCTTCCTGTGCTGTGTCGCTCTGCTGCTGCTCCACACCGGGGGCAATGCCGATGCCTTATCCTTGTCAATTATTAACCCACAGGGAGCCGGCAGCAGGAATAGCCGGGAGTCAAGGACTAGTGCAGCTGGGGGGGGAGTGTGGGTGCGTCACCTGGCAATGACATCACGGACATTTCCAGCAGCAAAACAGGGGGGGCCGGGCACACACCAGCCAGGTGGAGCAGACCATTACATTGCGATGTGCTGGATCGGTCTCAAACCCCCAGCAGGCACCCAGAACTGCTAACTGAGACATGGCCCAAGTTTAGCAGAGGGCGGGCTTGCGCGGAAATCCGAGAAGCTGCGTTTGTATGAGAACGTGAAATGTTGTCGTGACCCTAATGGTGTCTGTCGCTCGTCCTGCGCGCACCCGAGCTCGGAGCAGCCGTTTGCATAAAGCAGTTGGGCACGCCAGACAGACTGGTTTCGTCGCATATCTGTCCCGCCTCTGTCACTTCATTCATGCTGGGGAGGTTGGGTAACGTCTCTCTTGTAGCACACTGTGTTCCTGCCCTGTTTCCAGGACCTGCAGCGCACCTGCCAGCAGACTGTCCTCTGCAAGGCCTCTGCAGCTTTTATCAGTTCCCGTTAGTGTGACCCCAGCTCTCGGCTGTTGACTTTCCAGGAATGTGCGCTGTATAGTGAAGGAGCATTACTGCCCCTGTTCCTTATCGCTTTTCCCCCTTTTTCCCAAACTGTGTTTGCAGACCAGGAGTTCACACTGAATTCAGCAAAGTCTCTCCTTGCATCGGGGGTTAGGGGAAGGGGTCCAACGAAAGGGGCCTTTTTTTAGCGTTTCTTCATGCAGGCTTTTTTGGATAATATAAGATCACTTTATTGGCCATATACAATTTCTTGCAATAGGAATTTGTCTTTTCGCATACCCCAGCTTGCTCTCCGTGAGACACGCAGACAGGGAGAGAAGCTTGGGGTCAGAGCGCAGGTCAGCCATTTATACGGCACCCCTGGAGCAGATGGGGTTCAGGGCCTTGCTAAGGGGCCCAACAGAGTAGGATTCCTCTGCCAGCCGCGGGATACAAACCGTGAACCTTCCAGCCACAGGCGCAGATCCTTAGCCACAGAGCCACCGCTCTGCCCCAAACTGGCCGCCTTCCAACACACCGTTCTGGGAATCGTCCTCTGCCGTCGATTCGGCAGTGGCTGCCATATGCCATAATATGACTTTACTATACAATACAATGACTATACAAGCGGCGCTTGCAAGTCTACAGTCTATAAAATGGCTTAAGAACGCGGTGTTCGTTCCTAGAGGGGTTGTTGGACGCCGGACATTTTCCTTCTCAGGGCACTAGTTGCGAGTCATGCTTGTGTCTGATTTACCATGGCGAGGGTACTGATGCTCTTCCTCCTTTCCTCTTCCTCCATCTTGCAGATCCTGTGCTTCAAGTTCCAACACATGTGGCAGAGTGAGTTTCTCCACATTTTTTTATTATTTTGAACGAACACTGTTGAGGTGTGTCAGCTCTCTCATGAAGGTCCTGCTATTGTAACAGCCGGCTTGTATGTTTTTTTTTGTGAGAGATGTGTTGATTGTAGTGCCAGTTCTCCCACCCAGGAGATATTTGCTCTAATCCCCAAGCCCTGCCTGCCTGTGGCTGTACAAACACAGCAGATAGACACCCTCCCCACACACCCTGGCTCCCCTCTTTCTCCTCCAGTTCCAGGAGGATCACCTCCGCGACTCCCTTGCATGCTGGCAGGAAGCCGGTGCGGTAAACTGGCTCGCTGATCGGGCTCCAGAAAGCTCTTCAGGACCCGTCTGTTTCTCGCTGTTTCAGACACCCAGCATCTGCCTCCCACTTTCAGCCACACGGCTCCCCGTGCTGCCCTCCACTGAAACCTGCACATGTCGGTGAAAGAATCGGGCTAACAGAGGTTCTTTTTGTTGTTGTTCCTGCAGGCCAGCGTTCCTGCCGGACCCCAACGACGGCAGCTTGTACTCTCTGGGGGGCAAGAACAGTGAGGGGCTGACGGTGAGGGCAGTGTTCGGAGCGACCGTCCAGTAAAGAGCTAGCTCCAGATCGCCTGCCCGTTGGGGCCAGCTCCAAAGCAAGAGTTGCTGTAGCTTAGGAAGACTGTTGAAGACGGGGGGAGGGGAGTTAGGCTTTGTCGCCCATCAGCATTTGTGCAGCAAGGAAGGAAACTTCCAGCAATTATGCCAAACGTTACTGCCTGAAGCAAAGTGGCTTTCTGTTCAACGTCAACATGAAAAACTTGTATAGTCCTGAATACATGTCCTGTAACTGAAACATGATGTGTGTATCGAATGACGTTCAGCTGAAGGAGAGGTGATCATGCCTCGTCTAGCTGCACACGATGCGTTACATGTCGGGCATCGTGTTTGTAGGACATCTTCAGTGCCCGTTTTCAAGAGCTGTCTTTCCCGTGTTGCAGAAACTGCCTTTCACGATCCCTGAATTGGTGCAAGCTTCGCCCTGCCGCAGCTCGGATGGGATTCTCTACATGGGTAGGGTCCGCACGACCGCTGTCCCGTGCACGGGAGTTGACACTGAGTCGCTAGCGCATTGCTGGGATCCTGGCATCGCGGCGTTAAATTTTATTTTGAGAATGGTAAACTGAATCGCACATTTGGGGGAGGAGGTGATGAACGGAGCCCTTCCAGGTTCTGTCTGTGACAATCCGCGCCACGCACTGGACTGTCGGGGGCTCAAAGCTGTGAATTGCGTTCATTCTGTAGAGGCTGTGAAAGACATGGCTGCCGAAAATCTCTGGTGATTTTTTTTTTGTTGAAAATTTGTGCTTGCAAGGAAAATTATTTCCTCTAAAGCAAAAAAGAAAAGGCTCGAGAGAGCCCTTGCAGAGGGGCGCGGTGCAGAGCCCTCCTTGTTAGCTGTCGGCTCTGCCCTTCCTTGGGATAAGGGTCCCTTTGTTCCTGCGCTAACATGACACCGCTGGGAAGAGCCGGGACACAATGGTCCAGCTGTGAGCGCCTGTGCAGCAGGGTACCTGGTTAGGCCTGAGGTGAATCCCCGGTACAGATCGGCTTCGCGTCCGGAGATTAACGAGCAAGGAAGCAATGGACTTTAGTTCGTGCATGTGCCTGTGAGAAGGAGACAGGATTTGCGAGGGGTGAAATGGCCTGGACAGGCGTTAATTACAAGCCAGTGTTGTGTGTGTTTAAATGGACTGCTTTTGGGATCTGTTCTGTAAAATGGTCTTGCTCCTGGTGCTGCTTTGTTGGTCCGTCGCAGGCGTGAGCAGTAATGTTAAGGGTTCAGAGCTGGGGCTTGATCCCAAACTCAATCAGATCTCCTCTCCTGCCAGTCATCAAGATGCAGTGAACGCTACCTTCCCAAACGTAGGACTTGGCATACATGGGGAATCCGCAAACTTTGTTTAAATGCAACTTGTGATAAGACCTTGTACATGTGTGTAATTCTCCAGGTAACATGTTAATGCCCTGTGTGTGTCATTGTCCAGGTAAGAAGCAGGACCTGTGGTACGTAGTTGATATGCTGACTGGAGAGAAGCAGCAGACCCTGACCTCCTCCTTCGCCGAGACCCTCTGTCCCTCCTCCTCTCTGCTCTACCTGGGCCGCACAGGTAACCCCCCCCCGGTCTGCCGGGGCGCTGCAGCGTAGAAAACGGAGTCTCATCTGGTTCATCTGCAAAAAGGGCTTTCCCCTTCAGCATGTACAGCTAAGAATTTTGTTTTAAAAAAACATGGTCCAAGTGAGAAATCAAATTGTTGTGAATAGCTTGACATCCCTGCATATCAAAATTCAAATGAAGGAAAATGTCAGTGATTCCCCCCTGTGATAATGGATTTAGCTCACACCTGAGCTAGCAATGAGTAAGTAGGAATTAACTGGTTTTCACAATCGCTGTTATCCTGCTGGTGTTTTTTCCAAACCAGCTATGAATAGCACTGATCTGGAATGAGAAAGCTGTTCTGACTAACCTGCCGTCCTTGGGTTTCAACGTCTTCAAGCTGCACGCCTGATGGAAATGGGTGTAACACAGCTGTGCAATTCTGTCCCTTAGAGTACACCATCACCATGTACGACACTAAGAGCCGCGAGCTGCGCTGGAACGCCACGTACTTTGACTATGCCTCTACGCTGCCCGATGAGGACACCAAGTACAGTAAGAGAGCACGCGTCGCCGCAAGTGTCGAGTGTTAAATCCTGATGAATATGCGCTCATGGGGCCCTTGTAAGAGACTGTGGTTTGTAGCTGCTGAGTCAGGGAGTGAGACGATTTCAGGTGAAGTAATCAGGTGAAAACTGCCGTTTCCAAAAGTTGAAAAACTGGCATCAAGATGACGCTGTCTGCAGTCCTGCACCTGGTCAGAGACTGGGCTCCTCTGTTCTCTTTTTTTGTTTCATCTGAGCTGCGAGTATCCACAGTTGGCTATTTATATGGCTCTGCTGTCGTGTCATGGCGTTCTCCAGAACTGTGTCCTACACCCATTTTCTGGGCTCATGAAAACTTCCCTTCCAGCAGGCATATCACAGCTGGCAACCCACTGAAGCTCAGCAGGTGTGAGCTTGGCCAGTACCTGGATGGGAGACTCCTAGGAAAGCTAAGGTTGCTGCTGGAAGTGGTGTTAGTGGGGCCAGTAGGGTGCGCTCACCCTGCAGTCTGTGCTGGTCCTAATGCCCCAGTATAGTGACGGGGCACCGTCCCTCAAATGAGACATAAAACTGAGGTCCTGACCCTCCATAGTCATTAAAAATCTCGACAAGAAACGCCTGGCCAAATTTCACATAGGCCTTTAGCAATCATGGCCTCCTAATAATCCCCATCTCTGAACTGGCTCCCTCACTCTGCTCTCCTCCCCACTGAGAGCTGGTGTGTGTGGAGTGGACTGGCGCAATCTGGCAGCTGTCACATCATCCAGGTGGGGCTGCACACTGGTGCTGGTGGAAGGGAGCCCCATTACCTGTAAAGCGCTTTGAGTGGAGGGTCCAGAAAAGCGCTATATAAGTGTGAGGAATTAGTATTATTCCCTTCCAAACCCTGCAGGACCCTGAGCCCCTGAAAGAATTCCTTTACAGTCCCCTTCCTAGGTGCGTGGTGTCTCGCCGTGCGGTCGTAACTCGCGCGCTGTCTGTCTCCGCAGAGATGGCTCACTTCGTGTCCAACGGGGACGGGCTGGTGGTGACGGTGGACAGCGAGTCCGGGGACGTGCTCTGGATGCAGAACTACAACTCGCCGGTGGTGGCCGTGTACATCTGGCAGCGGGAGGGCCTGCGCAAGGTGCCGCACACCAACGTCGCCGTGGAGACGCTGCGCTACCTCACCTTCATGTCCGGCGAAGTGGGGCGCATCACCCAGTGGAAGTACCCCTTCCCCAAGGAGAACAAGCACAAGAACAAGCTGATGTAAGGGGGCCGGGGTGAAAACGCCCCGCCCGGCGCAGACCCACGGGCTTTCCCGCCGAATCCTGCAGCCTCCGGTGCCGGGGTTTGGGGTTTGATGTTCTGTCAAGACGCATAATCAGTACACCTCGTCAATCCAGCGTTCAGAAATGATCACGTTTTGCACCTTTCAATTACCGTGCCCGAGAGAACTCTACATCTGTGATTTTTTTTTTAACCCTTTCAGAAGAGGGATACAGATTCTAACGTATGTAGTGCATCTGTACCTTTTTGTGCAAGTTTTGTTTGTTTTTTTTCTTGTGAAGAGTCCATTTGGGGCCCCACCTCTCAAATGCCTGAGCCGTTTTAGTTTTTATTTTGTTCTCTTTGTTTACTAGGCCAGACATGTCGGACCGCAGGTGAAAAATAAATTGACAGAGCTATGTTTTAGCCGTTTTCTTCCTCTTTGCACGCTCTGCAGAATGAAAGAGAATCCTTGATGTGAAAGGTTGTCTGAGGACAGGCTGGGGGGTGGAATGTGCTGACACACCGGCCTACGGGCTGATTGTTCTGGCTGTGGTTTTCCTGTGTTGATTTCGCTGACTGACTTGATTCGTCTGGGGCTGTTATTTTTTAGGGCGACGCTTTACGTGGGCAAGTATTCCACCAGCCTGTATGCCTCCCCTTCGCTGGTGCATGATGGAGTCACAGTGGTGGTGAGTGGGGCAGACTGGGCGAGGGACTGTGGCCGGGGGGTGTGGTTGGGGGTGTGGCCAGGGATTCACAGCCTCTGGCCTGTGTTATCAGAGCCCCTGTGAGAAACGAGGCAAACTAAATAATGCTGACTTTCATCCTGTTTTTTGTTTAAATCTACCAGACCACACATGTCAAAAGCTTGCTTTGAAACTAGTTTATTTCAGCAGTGGGCTTCCTGCTGTGGTCCACTCCTTCTCTTATGCTCTCACAATATTTTAAAACGGGTAGATCTTATCTTTTGAAATATTTTTTAAACTTAAAAAAAAAAATTAAACCACAAAACCACCAAGGGAGCCAACGAGAACAGTTAAAACAGGCCACGTGCATATCTTATGGAGATGCTCAATGTACACAGTATTTTAGCTTTAAAAATCCAGAGTAAGAAAAAGGAAAAAAGGGTAGAAATGTTGTAGAATCTGAGTTACATATCAATAGCAGTGTCCCACGTTACCAAGTTAAGTACTTCATGTGCTGCATAAAGACCAGCAGGTGTTGGAAGTGTTTTGAACTAACAGTTGCTGATGTAAGTATTGGGTTGTATCTTCATTCCCAAGTGTGGTCAATACCGGCGGTGTCTCTGTGTGTGCAGTTTCAGTAACACTGAACTACTGAAGCACCGCTGTAGAATAGCTGATGGCGTAGCACATGTTTTCCTACATAAATATGGTCATTGTGAGCAAAGAGAGCACTGGCAGGCAGGAGAATTGGATCTTTTGTTATCTGTCAGCACACAAAACCGCAGCACCAGAGCGGTCAGGGCAGTGTCAGTCAGGCTGACCCGTGTTTGACACAGGAATTCCCTCCAGGTTATCAGCCTGATTCTCTGCGGTTCTGGGTCAATGGCTCTCTGTGGGACTTGAGAGAGAGGTCTCCTGCTGGGCTGTTCAAGGTCACCAATATTGTCAGCACATTAAAACTGATAAGCTAGTTAATAATGGTAGGCAAGTCTGTCACACTCAATATGCTTAAAATGCTTGAAGTAATTGTTTTGAATTGTCTCCCAATATTATGGCTTTTCATTCTGCTCCGTGTTCCCAAACCTGTTCATTGCCACGAGACAAGACAAGTACATGCAGTGGGCTGGATGCAGGATTGTGTTTTTGTTTTTGATCAGTAAAGCTCAGTGCAGCAGTGCAGGTTTATAATTTTATGTTCCCTCCTTGGGAGTTGTGCTGCTCATAGCTCTCGGTAATCATCTCGCAGTCTGGGCTCGTGCAGCAGGCTGCAGCCTGCAGTGTCTTGGTGCAGCTGTGCCCGACAGATGTTTCTGCTTGCAGCCGAGGGGGAGTACTTTCCCCCTGCTGGAGGGTCCTGACAGCCCAAACGCGAGGATCGCAGAGGACAAGGAGTGCGTCATCACCCCAAGCACGGATGTGAAATTCTCTGCTACCTCTCTGAAGGAGAAGAACAGGATCAACTTCATGAGAAACCATTTGCTGCTGATCGGTAATGAGAACACAGCCCCTAGCCCTGTGTTACTGGTGTCTCTATGCTGCCCCCTGGTGGATTGGTGCAGAACTGATAGTTTGGCTTGTCCAAGATGGTACAGATGTTGTTAGTTCAGCTGTAGGAATAATTCGCTCTCCTCAAGTCATCAGCTAAATATCGTGTTGAGGGTTTCAGATTTAATTTCTTAATATGCAAGAACATTTTCTCCTGCAATATCCCACTAAAGTATCTGAGCTTATAAACATAAGGTTTTGCAGGATTTTCTGAAATTCTTTAAGTTAGAATATTTTCCTTAGAAAACACTACTGCTGTCCCAGAAAATAAATCAGTGCGAGGAAGGAGAGAGTGAGACGAGCAGGATCAAAATGTTTTCGAAGTCTTGCCCCCCTGATCTCGCGCCAGCATGGGAAAGCTGCTTGTGTTGGGTGCTGAAGGCCAGTCCTGCCCTCCCACACCAGGTCACCATGAGACCCCCCCCGCCGCCCACACCACCATCCTGGAGAAGTTCCCGGACAGCCTCCCTCGTCACCCTGGCAACGTCATTCCGCCTGGCACGGAGAAGAACTTCGAGGAGGTGAGGGGCTCGGGGGAACTCGGGGTGCCAGTCTGTCGCACTGGTGACCAGTTTTCTGTACTCTGGAATGTTTATCAAAAAAAAAACAAAGATGCTGGTGGGGTAAATGGGGGGAAAACGCTCCAGGTGTGGGCGCTGTCTGTGTTCCTGGGTCCTGCAATAGCAATCGCTCAGGCGGTTTACGCTAAGAGCAGTTGGGGTGGGGAGTTGTGGCCCCCAAAGCTCCGGCTAGCCCTAAAAATCAAACCTGCTTACAAGACAAAAGGGGGGCACTGAGGTCTCTGCTTGTCCCAGCACATGAAGTAGACCCCGTATTCGGTTCTGGGGTGCAGTGGTGTCCATGGGGCTGCATGCAAGCTCCTCTGTTACTCTGCTGCAGAGTTTCCCTCTCATCAGGGACCCCCCTGCGTCCCCCCTCAATTTCTGCGAATCTTTTCCCTGCTGGTGCGGTGAAGGAGGACAAAGGTCATGTTTTCCACTAGACCGGCTCCTGTGCTGGCAGCTGGGAGCCCAGCCGAGGCTCTTCAGCTTCCTCGTGCGGGCAGCAGCGCAGACCTGCAGCCCTCTCCTCACTGGTGTGTGTGCGTGTGTGTGTCTGTCTGTGCGTGAGCAGCAGGTGCGCGACGTGGACGTGGAAGAGCCTGCCCCCAGGCCCCCGGTCACCTCTGTCCAGGAGACGTACGGCAGGCAGCCTGGCCGCCCCGAGGCCCCGGTGGACTCCATGCTGAAGGACATGGCCACCATCATCTTCAGCACCTTCCTCTTGGCTGGCTGGGTGGCCTTTGTCATCACCTACCCTAAGGTGCTGTTCGTAACTCTTTTTTTTTTTTTAACTTGGCACTAATCTGTCTGTTTGCAGACCTGCCAACGGCAGCAAAGGTATTAAAATAAGGTTAGTTAGAAATAGGTGATTTATGCCCATGAGTTTTGTTTTTTTTCTTAAGGCAGTTTGAGTATCTGCTACATAAGTAGCTATTGCTTGGATTGTCTGTCTGGCAGTTGTATTTCATCCTCTCACAGGACTTTACAGTGTTGCGGGGGTCTGGAACAAGCCATCCATCTTTATTGTAGGGGCTGACACCTAGACTGCTGTCAAGGAAAGGCTGGATGAGCTCAGGTCAATTAGATGCTCAGACCCTAAGAAAGGCTACAGAAGAGAGCAGGCCATTTCGCCCGTCAAGCCCCTTTGGTAGTAACGAGCCAGTTGTTCCCAGGATCTCATCCAGCTGCTTCTTGAAAGAACCCAGGGTACCGGCTTCAGCTAGCAACCAGACAAGCTAGATGGGCCCAATGACCTTCTCTCGTTTGTAGTCCTTCTCTCATCTTTTATCACTTAGAATTTTAAAGACTGTGCTCCAGCTAGATACTTTCCGTTCCATGTTGTTCTCCGGCTGATTTCTGTTTGGATGTGTGAATGATCTGAGATGGACTGGCGTCCTGTCCAGGGTGTGCCCCGCCTCCCCGCCTTGCGCCTCCTGCTGCTGGGACAGGCTCCAGCTTCCCCGCAACCCTGACCTGGATAAAGTGTGTTGGTGGTTGTGTGAATATTGATGATCTGTGTGTGTGATAACTGATGATCTATGTGTGTGATTGCCAATGATCTGGGTGTGCGTGCGTGTGTGATTACTGATGCTCCTGTGTGCGTGTGCAACAGAGCTTCCAGAGGCAGCAGCAGCTGCAGCACCAGCAGTTCCAGAAGCAGCTGGAGGAGAAGATCGAGCTCCTGAAGAAGCAGCAGCCGCTGTTCCAGCCGCCGCCCGACCTGCCCCAGGACGCGGACTTCCTGGACGGGGCCCGGGCGCGAGGCGAGAGCTCCGGCAACAGCAGCCCCTGCGCCAGCCCCCGCGCCTCCAACCACTCCAACCTGTCCTCTGGCGAGATGGGCGGCTCCGCCACCGAGCGCGAGGAGGGAGGTGGGTCGCGCTTCCCGCCTGGCCCTCGGCCTCGGGCACCTCTGTCCTTCCGGGGCTCCTGCAGAGAGCAGCCTCTCTGACGGAGCTCTTGGGGCTCAGCCCCCGCGGCTGCTGAGGGAGTGGGGTCCCCCCTTTAGGCCGCAAAACTGCAAAGGAGCACATCGGGCTGTGAAAGATCTCTTTCACAAATAGGTCCACGCAGAAGCAGGCACGCTCTCTCGAAGCTTTCTCCCTCTACACTCATTTTAACGTTATGCACGCCAAGTGAATTTGCCGTTTGTAAGATTTGCATGGCTTGAGCCGAAGCAGAGCAGGGAGTGGGGTGCGTGACCAGTTTTGTTTTTCTGTTTTTCCCCCCCCCCCTTCTCGTTAGACGAAGAATCGAATGTCGTCCGGGTGGGGAACATTACGTTTAATCCCAGAGACGTGCTGGGCCACGGGGCAGAGGGAACAGTCGTCTACAAGTAAGCATGACTCCGAGAGGCTAATTAGGAACAGAAGACGGTTCAAGCGAGCGGAGGCTACTCGGATTCAGCCCACCCCACTCATTGGTTACTGCGAGCTAATTGATGACCGGAGCTTTCTTGAAAAAAAGCTTCAACAGTATGAGTGGGCAGCTTGTTCCTCTCTCCCACTGTTAGGGGGTAAATTAGTGCCTCCTGTTTGTGGTTTTAAATCCACTTCCATGTTCTCCAGACAGGATTTTTGATTGTTGTCCGAGTGTTTGCCTTGTACATTTCTGACTTTTGTAGGGCATGGGGCTACAAGTCAACAAAGTTAAAGTTACAAAAAGGTTGGCTATTGCTCCTTTAAGACTCTCTCCTAGAGTCCATCTGCAGGATAAATAGACCTGTTTTTGGAACATGCCGATTGATGTGATGAGGTCCTGAAACCTCACAGCAGCTCAGTGCATTGTGCTGCAGGGCTGCAGAGCGAGTGACCCCTTTCCTCATAGTATCAGTTCAGGTGTTTTCAGTTCTTTTCTGGGCTCCATAGCTCCACTTGTCGCTTTAACCTGGTGCACAAGGTGAAGGCCTGGACCAGCACACCAGGTACCAGGCGTAGTTTTTAGTGGTGAGAAAGATTTGCCCAGTTCAGTTTTTAGGAATATCTGAATCAAATCTCCTGGCAGCTCTCCGTCTGTCGGTTAAGCCTCCAAGAGGAGGACAGGGAGCACTGAAGCACGTCTGTCCCGTGTCCCTCCCAGGGGCCGGTTCGATGACCGCGCGGTGGCGGTGAAGAGGATCCTGCCCGAGTGCTTCAGCTTCGCGGACAGGGAGGTGCAGCTGCTCCGGGAGTCCGACGAGCACCCCAACGTTATCCGCTACTTCTGCACGGAGAGGGACCGGCAGTTCCAGTACATCGCCCTCGAGCTGTGCGCTGCCACCCTGCAGGAGGTACCGGTAGCCCTGCGGCCCGCGTGTCCGGGGGGGTCTGTGCGGTGCCAGAAGGCCCGGTGTGGGACGCTGATGAAAATATCCCCACTTCCCCTAAAGGCCCCGGTTGACCAAAGTCCGTCAAGGATTTACAAGAGGCAAACATGAGGCATTGCTGGTTAAGGCAAACCTGTTCTGTTCTGCAGATGTTCGTATTTGGAACAGTGGGGCAGCTTTCCAAAAGGCTTCGGCACAATCGCACAATAATTCACACATTGTGTCTTGAAAAGAGTAGGGGTGTTACCCTGGTGTCCTGGCCAAAGTTACCATTGGTCTTGATTTACCAATCATGGCCTCCTAATAACCCCCCTCTCCGAACATGCTTCATCACTCTGCTCTCCTCCCCACTGAGAGCTGGTGTGTGGGGAGAGTAGTGGTGCATCATCCAGGTGGGGCTGCACACTGGTGCTGGTGGAGGGGATCCCCATTACCTGTAAAGCACTTTGAGTGGAGGGTCCAGAAAAGCGCTATATAAGTGTAAGGAATTAACTGTTATACACAATGTTGATTGCTTCATAACATACATGAAGCCTCAATTAGTTCATTTTCTGTAAATAATTGCTATTGATGAGAAGAATACCAATGAAACCCAGTGACACTGGCGTGAATGAATGAATTTATGAATGGCAGGCTGACGCTGTAATTACTGCCCAGGGCTGAATTAGTGTCTCATGAACGCTAAGGTGACTCCACTAAATCATTTCTGTTATTCAGCAGGGAAGGTGTGTGAACTCATTGGAGCTTTGTATCGGGGTTACCAGCAGCTCCCGAGAGTGACTTGTGTGTGTGTGTGTATTTCACAGTATGTGGAGCAGAAAGACTTCGACCGCCACAGCCTGGAGCCAGTGACACTGCTGCAGCAGACCATGTCCGGCCTGGCCCACCTGCACTCTCTCAGCATCGGTAAGGCGTGCTCGTCAGTCCTTGCACAGAGTCGACAAGCCTTCTTACTAGGTTGTCTCTGACACCCTTCCCGATTGATCCGCCTGTTCTCTGCCCCCTCCTCCCCTCCCCAGTGCACAGAGACCTGAAGCCGCACAACATCCTGGTTTCCATGCCCAACGCCCACGGGCGCGTCAAGGCCATGATCTCGGACTTCGGGCTGTGCAAGAAGCTGGCGGTGGGCAGGCACAGCTTCAGCCGCAGGTCGGGGGTGCCAGGCACAGAGGGATGGATCGCGCCTGAGCTGCTAAGCGAGGACAGCAAGGACAACCCGGTGAGTGTGGACAAGAGTCCCAGCAGCATCGGCTGTCTGCTGTCCGGTCTTCGGGGTCTCCAGAGCCTCGCTGCCGTTCCGCAGGCGCTGGGACCCCTGCGGGGCGCCGGGTATGTCAGAAAATCAAATCGAACAAGTGGCTGCGTGTGGTGGTTGAGAACGCTATGTGTTCTAGGGCACCGCTGGACAGGCAGCACTCTGATGGGCAGAAATGCTCCTGCAGACTCCTTGTGATGAGTGTTAACTTTTATTACTGGTTGGGGTAGGAAGACGTGCCTTCAGCTTCCATCTTTAAATGGAAATGGTGTGTCCCTCATGTCTGAACACCCGAGAACTCCAGTATTTTTTTTTTTTTAGTCGCTGGTCAGCTGTATCCAGCCCCTGAGTGTTTTATACAGCAGCACTTCTAGAGCCTGACAGTGCACAGCTCCAGATATTTGTTAGTGAGAGTCAGGCCACTAGGTGGAGCCACTAGAATTCATATGCAGGGAAAGTGTGCTTTAGTGAATCTGGAGGAATGTGCCTAGTTAGAGGTGATCTTTTTCCCTGCGCTCTGTGAAAACCAGCGTTGTGTCTTGAGGAAGGGTGTTGCGGAGTGTAGAACTGGTGCTTACGGGTTAAATAAGCAAGAATGTCCTTGTCCTGTCTGTACCCAGCGGGCGGCGGTGTTGTGTCTGAGCCTGTGCGCGACCCCCGCTGACTCTGTGCCTTTGCAGACGTGTGCCGTGGACATCTTCTCCGCCGGCTGCGTGTTCTACTATGTGGTGTCGGAAGGCAGCCACCCCTTTGGCAAGTCCCTGCAGCGGCAAGCCAACATCTCCCTGGGCGCCTGCAGCCTGGACTGGCTGCAGCCGGACAAGCACGGTGAGAGTGCGCGCGCTGCCCACGGGACCGCTGGGTTTTTTTCACGTGGCGTCGAGCCCTGTGCGGCACCACACCCCCTTCTGATGGCGACAGGAGGGGTGGTTTCACTTTCCAGTCTGCTGTAATTTAAAAGGTGTGCCGTACTGCAAGCAAATACTAGCAGAAAAAATATCCTGCAACGTGGCATTTCTTGAACAAGCCAAGCCACATTTTTACCCGGCTAGCTGCTTTTCAACTGGCGTGTCTCGGATGCTGCGAGGGCTGTGTTGTAGTAACTGCTCTCCACTCTGTTGCAGAAGACGCAGTTGCCTCTGACCTGATAGTCCAGATGATCAGCATGGAGCCACAGAAGAGGCCAATGGCCGAAAGTGTGTTGAAACACCCCTTCTTCTGGAACCTGGAGAAACAGCTGCAATTTTTCCAGGTGTCTAGCCCTGTTTATTTAGCCTGCTGGTCCTGATGTTGTGTGTGTGTGTGGGGGGCTCGTTTCGGTTTTGGAAACGCACCTCAGAGGCGGCGTGTAGGGAGCGTGTGTGTGTGGTCAGGCTTGGCTGGCCGGGGTGGAGCTGGGAAGCTGCACGCGGCCTCCTCTGTCCTGCGCTGAGGCAGTGCTGTGCCGTTCTCTCCCAGGACGTCAGCGACCGGATTGAAAAGGAGCCGCTGGATGGGCCGATAGTGAGGCAGCTGGAGAGGGGAGGCAGGAGCGTGGTGAGGGGCGACTGGAGGGAGCACATCACTGTCCCGCTGCAGACAGGTAGTGGCAAACCCAGCGATGAGTGATTTTCCTCCTTCCTGTTCCGGTTTTGCCACCGTTCTCTGATCACATGTGCTCGTTTTGTAGATCTCCGAAAATTCCGCTCGTACAAAGGGGGATCGGTGAGGGATCTCCTCCGTGCCATGAGGAATAAGGTGAGCACTCGTGTGCGTCTCTGTTCGGCACGGCTTCAGCCTTCGGGTGGTGGTGGGGGGAGGGAGATATTCACACGCGTTGCACTTTTAAAAGTTCACGGCATGAAAATATCGTTGTCGGGGCTCATGAAAGGGTGTTTTAACATGTTCTTTACTCTGAAGTAAAGTGCTCCAGCGCAGGTACTGGGCTGACTGGAGTTCTACAAAAAGCCGCTTTGTTTCAGTCTGTGGTTTTGTGTGGCTTTGCCTCAAGCAGAAGCACCACTACAGGGAGCTGCCTGCGGACGTCCAGGAGACCCTGGGCTCCATCCCGGAGGCCTTCGTGTCGTACTTCACCTCCCGCTTCCCCCACCTGCTGCTGCACACCTACCTGGCCATGCGGACCTGTGCGCACGAGCGCCCCTTTCTGCCCTACTACCCCCCCCCGGGCCCGGCGGCACCGGCGCCACCCTGTGACCGCTGAGGGGCGGGGAGGGTTCGCCTGACCCCTCGCGATACATTCCAGGGCTGGCTCTCCCCCGGCGCGGCCCGCACACCAGACTCATGTCCCCCCCCCCGCCATCACCCAAGTGCCTTCAGCTCATGAGCAGCGCCGCTCTGGACTGGTCTGGACAGACCCGCCTGCTGGTTCTGGCTCTGCAGCAAGACTGGACCGGGCCTGCGGAGGTCTCGGGGAGAACACGGCAAAGCAAAACGGAAGAACTGGAGGCCGGAGATTGCTTTTTTTTTATCATATAAAGTACTGCACAGTCCAGATGGCCTCTTTATCGCCCCCAATGGGGGAAGGGAATCGCTTTGACCCAAATGCCGGTTTTCTCCATTTCCTACTGCGACCTGCCTCCTGCTACCTGCTGTCCCTGGACGAGAACCCATCGCGATCTGCAGTGTTTCTCGGGGGGTCTGCTGTGTCGGATGTGGACAGTGCACCTTTGCACTAACGGAAATGCTGAGATGTTCAGATCTGAGTCATGTTCAATGTTCACGTTTGCCATCGGGTGTTCATCTTGCCATGATTTCCGTGCCCATCCTATGTTTGCATAGCAATCTCATTCGCTCCTTTCCAAGAATATTTTCACAGCTATTTGGGCCTGTAACCCTTAAGCCTGCAGGGGTTTGTGTCGTATGTCCAGTATACAGCAGACAGACCCCGGAGTCTGACGGTCGGGAAGCCTGATCTGCTTTCTCTGGCGTGGCCCCCCACCCATAGCGCAGTCATGTGCGTCTGCATGGGGCCGTGCCGGGAGACCCTGGGGGACACCTTCGGGTGCTGTGGACCGCGTCGAAGGCTGGGCAGGGGGTGACGGAGGCGTGGCCCGAGACCGCGGTGGAAATGAGCCGGTTTCTCCTTGGCGGCTTGCCTGGCAAGAGCGCCGCTTTCGTCCTGATCGGATCACGCCGGCACGCCAGGCTGGGGAGGAAAGCAGGGACTTTCCCCTGTCTCTTCCACGGATTCAGTCCCACTCGTCCCCTGCTCCACTGCAGCCTCCGGGTCTCCGGTGGAGACCTCCCCCCGTCCGCCCGAGCCGCGGGGTCTCCAGGATGCCCTCGCCCTCCCGTGCAGGGAGCAGAGCCGTGTGTGGACTCGAACTCGCGAGTACAGGAATCGCCGGGCGCCTGTAGACGGGGAGAGAGAGAGAGGAGGGCTCTGGAACCCGGTGGGTTTTGTCAGACTGGAGACAGATGCAATGTTGCAGCATTAAAATTAAAAAGCGTCGCTACACATATACAGTATGTATGTATTTTCATTCCTGATGCTAAAATCCGTACCAAATATTCCACTTCAGCAGACTGGGCAGGAGGAAAGGGCACCAGCCTAATGCATCTCTCCAGTGGTTTTATGCTAATTTGTTTTCTAAAAATTGTTTTTAATCACTGCTTTTGAAAAAGAACATGTAAGTTATTTATTTAAGGGGAAGCTAAAGAATATTTCATTCCCGCGGTCTTCTGTGTTTGTTTTTTTTTTTTGGAGCTAATTTATACTCTTTTTTTTTCTTATTGTCGGTCATCTGCAGGCCTGATGTTGAAATTGAGATGCCAAATAAACAGTCAGTATATTCCAACGTGTGTAATCGAGTTTTTCACGAGTTACTTCTAGATAAGCCGTTGCAAGTTGATTTTTTTTCCCCATCTAAGAAAACGTATCTTAAACTACCAATGTGGTATTTACTTTGTATTTTTTATCAAAATAGCCTGCCTGTGACTGATGGAGAGAACAGTAGTCGGCACTGTAAGAAAAGGCGTTGTTCAACTTTTTTCTGTAGTTGGGACATGGGCCAAAAAAAAATACTTGATAAAGCGAGTATGGTTAAAAAGTTACCAGGGCGTTGTAAGTAGGATAACGTTTATTTAGCAGAATCGGATTATTATTATTACTGTTAATGGAAATACAGTAACACCCGAGGGATTCGAGTTCTTCTCTGACGTCACTCCTTCGCCCAGAAAGCCCCGACTCTGTGCGTCACAGGTGAAGGAGACAGCGGTAAGTACACAGTTTACTTCTTGCGTGCAATAATGTTTCCATTTATATGATTTATGCATATAGTGATGAATATTCGCATTAGAATTAAATTCGGCAAACGCACTTGCCGGTACCGGTCACCCGCGATATCCGTCCAGTATTGCGATAAACGCACTTCTAACACGCCGAGTTTAACAGGAGTCATTTTAGGAGTCCGTGGTGACCAATTTCTTTTACTTTACCGAGAGTCTCATCATTTAAAAACTGCAGGGGTGGCGAGTGCAGGGTGAGTTAGCGCTTTTCTATTGAAAGGGACAAATTTACTTGTTCGCCGATACGAAACCAAAATATTGGCATAAAAATGGAATACTGTTCTGCTGTGGCACGAAGCTCGGGTATCCGATCGCAGGCTTCCGCGAGCTTTTCGCCGTCGACATCCTGAACTTTCTGTTCAGTAGAATCGAAACCTAAAAGGCGCCGCCCGCCCTGCGAGCCGGTTCCGCAGCCTCGCCCGTCTGTGGGTCCGTGGAAGTCCTGTGTACGGCAGGGCAGTGCAGTCAGGGGGCAGAGAGCGCAGGGAGGCGATCCGAACCGCTGCTTCTGCCTTGAAGAGCCGAGACGGCCTGGGCGGTCCGGCGTGGTGAGATGTCGGACGGGCTGCAGCAAGCAGGCGAGTGGAACTGAACTTCTCCGACCGAATCGACCTTTAAGCGCTCATTTGTGCTCATCGGGTATAGGAGGGAACAAGGGGGTCTGGCGAGAACTGGCCACAGTTCGTGGTGACAAAATAAGGACAGCTGGTGTGTTTTAAACTTGGCAAGACGACAGTGGAGTAACACGACAGGAAAGTGCCCAGTCCAGAACCGAGCTCAGACTGTTCCCGAGTTGAAAGAACCACAGCTGGCTCCTCAGAACTCCTGTGCTTATTCTTTAGGAAGCACAGTTTACGGGCTTCTGAGGCTGATAAAAGAAAAAGGGAGGAAACCCAACCAGTAGATTGTCTGCAGTGCTGTTTATTTATCTCCCTTCAGGCTTTTAAAAACAGAGTGAGAAGTTCATTATCTATTTCTGGAACTATTTCTGTCCATATACAATTTTGACCTTGAAATGTGGGGTATTTTTTTCTATTACTCCATTTCAGAATAACAAGAAGTAATAACGTATATTGTGGTGTATCATATAACAGTCAGAAATCAAAATATCTGCACTGGCTTGGTGACTTCCAGATTTGATATT